CATTAAGTCCAAATAATGATTCATTTGATCAGATACACTATATATCACGACTCCATAGTAGTTTTCAGATCATTGAAGATGTTGTGGAAATTTGATTTTATCAGTACCATCTGAAAGAGTACAAAATTCTAACCTAGATGAGCATGCAGTCGCCGCGCTTTTTTTACGATCTTCTCGTACAAAATTACAAGCATCAGAAAGCACGAAAAAATCAATGAAAATGCATTTTTTTTTCGTTCTTTTGTGAAACTGGTAACTAGGGATGTCAGTGTTTGTATTTTTAGGAATACAAATCACATCCTGGATTTGTATTCCTAAGTATGAAATAGAAAACTGATACCCCTACTTGTAACTCCACAAGAGAAGGTCGTAAAAGACACACCGACCGTCATATCACTCAGAATTTTGTACTCTTTCATATGATACTGTTAATAACGAGCCCATCAAAATATTTTCTAAGCACCTGAAAACTACTTTGTTTGGTTTTTTTAGGAAACTTTTCCGTAGAGTCCAACAATTAAATTATAGATTTGAGCACTATTGTATATATATTTCAATGTTTTTATGCACAGTCACAAGCAAACTATCATAATAATGTAACAGCAAATATCTACATCTCTAATACATTATCTTTTCTTTTCTTTATCTATTCATTTTACTGTCGAGAATTTCAACACTATGATTAGACAAATATTAGCGTTTGAGATATGATGAAAATTCATTCGAATACTGTTGGTTTGTTGATTTCATCAGTAATTACTCTGATGCTCGTATGAAAGAATCTTCTACTTTTAATGAAATGATGACAATTATTCTTGGAGATATATTCTTTTTATAGCTTCAGCATGGATATATGTTTATGAGATGATAAAAAATGGTCAATGTTGATTTTGAGCGAAATCATTGATTCTTGCTGGAAATATCGTTATTACTGCAATAAAAATTGAACAATACTTGACATGTTTTTCGTGATTCCTGACTATCTTATTTAAAATACTTTTTTAATTGATAGATATCGAGCTAAGCAGAAGATGTTCGTTTTCATCAACGGTTTCAAGATGCTTGTTTTTTTGGTAACATCTGTCCATCATAATTGCAAAAACAGTGCATGAAACTGAATTTTGCTATCCATAAAGCGATATATCACTTTAAGAATATTAGAAAAATAATTAATGGATAATTGGATTGATGAAAAGACCCATATATTTACCATTCTATATCTATCTAAGGAAAAAATTGGTCATTAAGGGGTTAAAATGAATGTATTGAATATAATATATAGAATAAAAATGATGCCAAAATATTCTAAATTTAAATATTTTATTTCACAAGATAAAACTACTTTTCAATATCTTATAATTATTGCTTCACAATAGACTACAGTATGTTGACTTGTCAACCATGGGTAAGCTTTATAATTGATGATAATTACAATTACGACCAAGAAAAATTTTCTATTCATTTTAGACCATTTTCTCAAACCATTGGAAGCAAAAACTAATTGTTTCATGTATCCATTATCAGAACAATATATTTTATATCCGTTTCAAAGAAAAATTTATTTCAGCCCTGATAAAGATGTATTTGTTCAATATATCACTAACATACCATTCTTGAAAAAGTCTTCTTAAACATTTAATATTAAGTGCTGATAGTAGACTAGCAATAAAGATTTGATGGCTCACAACGCACAATGTTGTTGTTTTTTAACAATTAGCATTGTTAGATCAGTCTAAAATAATACCTCTTCTTTTAGTGAAGAAAACTCTTTTCTTCTCCAATAACTAACAATTTGTACTTGTAAGATTTGCCTAATACTATAAAATACAAGATCCTCAGCAATCTGTAGCATACTTGATAGATAGAACTGATTTTGAGAGTTAAAGGCTTTACATCCATCTATATGTGAACTTTTGATATTGAATTTATGTTATGTTAACTTGTTTGTTTTATACGTAATTCATCAATTCAATCGCAGAATGAATTATGAACTCATAAGTTGATATACATGATGAATGGACAAATCAATTCAAAGGAAAAAAAAAACCTTCAATCATAGCTCTGTTGATTACAAGTAACAAATAACGAATTTTTTGTCAATTATATTTCTTTGAAAAGCTCAAAATGTTTTGAGTTATTTAACACATATTGCAACCAATTGTACTGATGTATGTATAAGATTTTTGTCTTCTTTTTCTTATTAAAAAACTATTGGACATGATTTCTTATTGTAACTATTTCATCAAAAAGACAATCAGAAGCAGAAAGAATTTGATCATACATTATCATAGATTTGACTAAAAAAAAAACTTTCTTTTATTTCAATTTTTAAATTCCGCTAAGATTTTGAATTTATATGTTTGTCCTCAATATCATCATTGACGTCATTCGAACAGCTTGACATCTTTATAATTGAGATATGCAAGCGGAAATAGAGCTTTTTGAAAATGAAATAATTAAACAACAGGATGAAACAAATGCCACATTTAACATTGCGTGCGGCAGAATTAAAATTACCGGCGTTGGTACCAATACAAGCTAAAATGATCTCTATTCGATTTTGCCTTTTTGGAGTGTCAAAAATTTCATGAATAGAATTGAACAAACCAAAAGAAAAATCTTTTTCAATCTCATTTAAGGTCTTGACAACAATAATCTCTTCTCTTTTCGTTAAATATGGATTGCTTTATTATTTGATTTAATTATATTCAATAAATAATCTCGCTGCATTAACTTATTTCAACGTGTTTCATAAATGAATTATCATGAATAATCTAATTTATGATTTTCAAAGAAAATATTCTATATGCCAGTCAACACACGACATGTTCATCTATGTTATGATGTTCTGAAGTGTTTGTTCTACATACATAATGACGAGATCAATTATCTGAAAATGAAAGAAAACAAAATTGTCACTTGTTAACTTTCTCATCTTATACAAAAAATTCTATAGATAAATAATATTTCTGTATTGAAAATACTTGCAAATTATTCATCTATTATCAATAATTAATTGTTTTCAATTTCAATAATATTCTTGTATTCATTTCCATGAAAATATAAATCTGTTAAAGATAATTTTTCAAAGAAATTTTTATTATTTATTATTAAAATGATTGTCTATTGTAATACAATTATTTTCTAAGATGTTTCTTTGGAAGAAAGTTATCTCAAAATATAACAACCTAGATTTTATTATTATTCTTTCCAAATATCAATAAAATAGTATAATAAGTTATTTGTTTGTGCAGAGCAAACAAGATACATTTACATATACAGTAATATTTGCTGAATGAGAAGAGTACTATCGAAAATATGTATGATTAATGGAAAAGTATTCAGAACTTTGTAAACGCGTGCAAGAATAAGAAATTTGTTTGTTTGAAGATTTAGCAAAATATGATAACAAAGTAACGAATGCATTAATAAAAGTAGTTTTTCAACCCATTTCAATGCGAACAAAAGATCGTCATTTGAGATTTTGATATAGCATCAACTGATTAAAGTACAATGTTTAATAGATGACTTGTTAGAGAAATTGCAGCAGCACATATTCAACAAATGGAGATTACGAATTATAATGAATTATCCTATAGTTTATATGATGTTTTATGTTTTCATTTTACAACAAAAATTATCATTTTATGATAGTGAATGACTTTTTTTTTTCTTTTTTTTTTTTTTTGTATCAAAGAAGAAATTTTAAAGAAATAGGAAATCGTTATTGTTATTCTTGTCGACATATAATGAATAGCCATAGTAAAGAACACAATATAGTATCCTGTGGGAATAACTTTTCTGAATTCTCGTAGAAAAATCTTTTGCCTCTGTTACCGTTTTATCAGCAATTATCTTCGATAACGACGACTAAGCCGATCAGTTTATATACTTTTGTCAGTAAGACTTTCATAACATCTGCTCTTATTTCATCTTGTACATTAGACAAGAAGTATCAATATTATATTTAGCGCAATATGACATAACTTCAAACGAAAAAACAACATTATGATGGAAGGTACAATTGGTTAATTACATTAAAATAAATAGCTGTTACATAAACATATGTTTAAGTATATAACAATACAACAAAGTTCGGAAACACTGATATTTAACGTAATTCCCGTTCCCCGTTTTCAACGGAAAATAGAACGAAGAAAATACATTCCCACAGGACACTAGTACAATGTAATATTGAAACACTGCTCAGAAAATTCTGTTCATGAACTCTTTTTTCTTGGGTTCAAGTCTCAGTGAAATAATAAATATTAATAAGGTAGAAATTTCTAGATCGTAATGTAATTGTAAGTATGACAACAACAACAACAAATCTATACAATTGGCTACAAAAAATGTCATCTAATATATGTCATGTTAATAGTAATCAATCATTCTATAGTATTCTGAAGCATGTGCGCAACAAACAAAACATCATGAATCATGAGAGAGAGAAAAATGCTAAAAGCAATTTAAAAAGAAGCATCAGCTGCTTTTGTATTGTGTTTATAACTTAGTAACCAAAGCCCTACAGAAAAGCTTTCAAAACAATCATCTATTATTCATACCGTTGAATCTACAGTAGAAACATTCAACAAAATGAATTCAGATTGTTAGTATGTTATAAATATCCGTTTTTCAAAAGATAAACTTGCGACATCTACAAATTTATCGTTTTTTTTCTTGTATATTAGAAAATATTTGATAAATAAAAGCCATATGTGATAAAGTATATTAATTTCCAAAGAAACTGAAATTTTGAATTTCCGGATATTAACATACGCAAGTAGTTGAGTTATTGGCTTGTTGACATTTATAATGATTATTCATCTATCATACGTCCAATCAAATATTTTTAGAATTTTTTGTTGTTTCTGTGTTATTTAGTCGCTTGGTGAATATCATCGTCGTCGTCGTTTGTTCTTTTACAAGATTGGATTTCTACTCACTGTGTTATTTTTTTATTATTATCTTATAAGTTTTATCTTATTAGAAATAAAGAGATGGCTGCAATACGAAAGAAACTTGTTATTGTAGGCGATGGTGCTTGTGGTAATAAATAATTTTTAAAAAAATATTATTGTTTTAAAATTTTTAAAATTTTAGGTAAAACATGTTTATTAATTGTATTCAGTAAAGATCAATTTCCTGAAGTTTATGTTCCAACTGTATTTGAAAATTATGTATCAGATATTGAAATTGATGGAAAACAAGTCAGTTGTATTTAAGATTGAGTAATATGTCTAAATTAGTTATTTTGTTAGATTGAATTAGCTTTATGGGATACAGCTGGACAAGAAGATTATGATCGATTACGACCACTTTCATATCCAGATACAGATGTTATACTTATGTGTTTTGCTATCGATAGTCCAGACAGTCTTGAAAATATTCCTGAAGTATGCATTAACAAAAAAAAAGTTTCTAACTCAATAAATAATAATTTAATTATTTATTAGAAATGGACACCTGAATGTAAACATTTTTGTCCAAATGTTCCAATCGTTCTTGTTGGTATGTATAAGATAAGATAATGAATGAAGCCAAATATCAATCTTAGTTATGTTATTTTTTAACACAATCATAGAAAAGGAATGTTATGTGAAAAACAATATGGAAATTAAAAAAAGAATAGAATAAGTTTTTCTTGATAATAGATTTTATTGGAAAAAATCAGTATTAAGTAAAAGTTCTTGCAACAATAAGAATACAAGCGGCACAAAAATATTTGTTTGATGACGATTTTGTGAAGTTTAACACAAAGAAAATTGTTTCATCATAAACAGGAATGACCGTGATAATCATCTACTAATTATAAATCATTCTAGTTGTCTAATGCTTTTTTTTTGACAAAAGAATATTTGCAATTGTTAAGCGTTATTTGATATTATACATTGGGTAACTCAGTAGTTAATTCAGATTTTCTCTTCGGGAGGAGCAATTTAAAAGTTCATTAGGGCAAATATCTATGTTTAGGAGCATAGATACGCATATTACAATAATTACAAACTCCGAGGAGGGCAAAAAACAATCGTCTGAGAAGCATCACCCTATCGGCTATAGCTCGTCGAGTTCAATATCTTCGAAGTCAGGTTTGAGGGTAACCTGACGGGCTGTATCCTTGGCTCTCACAATGGATAAAACGGTGAGTTCGAGCCCTTCATTGTCTTAAAAAGATCTACGAATATGAAATCAAAAAATAGATAAACTTTATAGTGTATACCCTTCGAACTTTTCAGAAGTCTCCACTATAAGTAGGTTAATTCTTTTGCTACAAGAAACAGATGCGCTTTCTAGGTATCTGAAGGATATTAGTGTATAAAGCAATTAGTTACTGTTATTTTTACGTCTTTTCATGGATTTTTCTTGGAAAATTAAGAGTGGCTAAAATAAACTAAAATTTCCTTGTCATAGACACCATTGAGACTTTTCAAAAATATCCATCATAGAACTATAGGATAATGTTTACTATCAGAACTTTTACTGTATATTATTATTATTTTCTATATTTTTAGGAAATAAAAAAGATCTTCGTAATGATGAAACAACTAAAAGAGAACTAATGAAAATGAAACAAGAACCAGTTCGTTCTGAAGCAGGTAGAAATATGGCCGAAAAAATCGGTGCTGTTGGTTATCTTGAATGTTCTGCTAAAACAAAAGAAGGTATTATAAAAAGTCTTTTTTATTTTATTTATTTATTTGTTATTTTGCTCAGGTGTTCGTGAAGTATTCGAATATGCAGCACGAGCCGCATTAGCTCGTAAAAAGAAACGTAAACATCCTTGTTCATTAATTTAAATAAAAACAAATATCCATGAATTAATTGTTATTACTATTGTGTGTTTGTTCGGGCCTGATAAAATTTTCTTCTTGGCGCTAGTACACCTAGTTTCTTTGTCTTGTAATACACATATACATATATTTATATATATTAAAACAAACCGTTGTCTTGTATAAATGTCGTGTTTTTTTTTCTTAATCTTGTGGTTTATTGTGTTTCGTTTTTCTTTTCTAAATTTATTCATACAAAGAAAAAAAACAGACAAGAGAATGTCTTATTTACATTGACGAACAAAAATTGATCTTATGATTTGAATTGAATATGATTGTTGGTTTTTTTTTTCTATAAAGTATTTGTTCTTGAATTGATCAATGTTTTTTCATTATTGACTAATTTTTTGAAACGTATCTTATTTAAATTCTTATTTTCTGTTTAAGTAAAAATTTTAAAATTAATTGTATCAATTATATTAAATCATATGAGAGAGTGAGAGAGAAAGTTTTTGTACTTTATTGTCTGTACTAGTTGTATGATTGAGATTTGATGAAGATATTATTTTAAGTTTAATAGGACACATTACATTTTTGTTTGATTTCTTATGACTTTTGTTTCTAAAATAAAAGAGTTTTTAACCGTTTACTTTGCTTTTATATTGAATATAGTTTCTTTAGTTAAACTAAATTGGAATATTAGGTATAACTGACTTTATAGAGAAAAAAAAAAGTACAGAAAAATGTGCTCTTCACAATTATTATTAATTGATTTTTCTAGCTCATTTAGTAAGAATGCTATTAGTTTGAGTACGTCTATCCTATCAAAAAAGGAAATTAGCCGTTAATACTTTAATAATAAAAAAAATGAAATAGTGAACAAAACGTGCCGCAAGCAATTAGTATGCATTAGGAAACAATTTTGAAATTATTTTATAGTTAATTTGATGCCGCATATGTTAAATGAACATAACTTTTGCCATGCATGAATTCTATCTTGGAGTCGAAAGAATACCCTACTGAGAAAATAACTACTCTTGTCGATGGATTACATTATTATGAAAATTTTTTACTTTCTCCTCAAGAATCATGAAGATAGAAAAGAAATCAAATATTAGGAAAGAAAGTCAATAAATCAATACATTAATAAAAAAAAAAAGATCAATCCCAAAGACAAAAACGAATATTTAATTACAACAATGTTTATTCTTCACGTAAAGGTCTTTCGATTCAAAGATGGCATTCGTGCATGACAATAGTTATATCAAGTTAACATATCAGATATCTAATTAATCATAAAATTATTTCAAAATCACTTGACAAATATAATAGGTATGTCTACACTAATAATTTTCATACTAAAGGAGTTAGAGAGATCAATTTATAGTTATTGTGAAGAGCGTGTTTTACTGCATTTTCTTTCTATAAAGTTAGTTCTATGAGAACATTATTTATGATACATAACGAATCAGTACGTCTTAGGTGCTCTTTTTATACATATTTATCTTTGATATCATATTTTGTTTTAGATACTTCATCATTTGTATGATCAATTTTATTATCTAGAAATAACTGTAATATGAGAAAATAATTACATAAAACTACACAAAAACAATAGTCAGTATCACACTGAAATGACTTTTAGAATTTTAATAACGAAATCGGTTTCTTATATTCATGAATGTTATCATCAGAATCTTCATTTTTTCGATTTATTTGTTTATTAAAATTTATATTTAATTGACTATCGTCATCATCATCTTCTGTAATATAACAACAAAAATAATCTATAAAAAACAAACAAAGCATTTTTTTCTATTTCTACTCATGAATTCAGTTTTTTAACTTTGAACAATTTAAAAGATCGTTAAGTTTTTTTTTCTGTTGATTTTTTTAAATTTTATATTTGATGTTTCATAAATCATTTATTTTAACTTTTATAAATCATAATTGATGTAAACCCATACACGTCTTCAATCTTATAAGTTTCAAATCGATCTTGAACATGTATTAATATATAATATGACGAATTTATTGTTATATCGTCTTTTTTTGGTTACAGGATAAGACTTTTACTTTTTCATTAAAAATCAAAACAATTTTTCTTTTGATTATCTGTAAAAAGCAACAAGTTTTGTAGATTAATAAAAGAATTATTGAACATTATAAGTTTAGTAACAACATAATACAGAATAAGAAATCTATGATTTAGCATCAGAAGAAAAAAATAATGTTTTCGTTTCTAATATCGTAGATAATGAGTAATCTAAAAGTAATTCGACAAAATGTTTGTTCATTTTTTAGTCTCTTAAAAGAGATTATGACTGAAGAAAAAACGCTAAGTTTTTCCGTTCAAATTTAATTTTTGTGCTTCTAAAAAGTGGACTTATAATTTTTAATTTAGAAGGACGTTGGTGTAGGTGTGTGTTTGTAGATGAACAGGACATCAACACTCACATTCTCTTCTGCTAGTGCATCAATTATTTCCTGATCTGTATGAATTGTCAACGATCGTGCATATACTAGCTTGTTGAAATCCTCACTAGCATTTTCAATGTTGGTCTTCCACCATGTTTTAAAACATTAATATAAGATTGTACAGATTTTGGATATGTACAATATGAATGATTATTTGTACACATGATTCGACCACAACATGATGCATTTTCTTCAACCGGTACATCAATACATATTAAATAAGATGTATGAAAATGCCCATGAACAAGAGCTAAATAATATATTAAAGTATACTTATTAATAAATACTTTATAAGCAAGAAAACTAGTGGCTCATTAATAAGTAAAATACTTAGATCTATTTATTTGTTTCTCGTTTTTGCAAAACATTTTAAAACTTATTGTGTGACATTTACTTGTGCTTCAGCTTTATAAATATCAATTGGAACAAGACCATCTTTATTTATAGTAATTGTTTTTTTTCTGATACAAACAATAACTTGAATATCATCATTAGATGATGAATAGCGATAATTGATCGGATCGTTGTTGACGATGCCATGGCCCACCAAAACTACAAAGATGAGACCATGTAGTACATGACTTAATAATAATAAGCACAAATAGTTTTTAAAAAAAATTAATACTACAAAGAAAATTTCAATGTTAATGAAAAATGTAAAAACTTCTATTGATTCTTTTCATTGTGTTAGTAATTGGTATTTTCTAAAATATATATTTCATTCAAATATTTGCTTACAATGTTCACAAACCTGCATGTTCAGCAGAGTATTCTTTAGTCAATTTACTGGTATCATGTGACTTATAATCAGTTATTGGTTTCTTGTTCTTCAAATATTACCTTGCTAAAAGATATCTTTAAAGAAATAAAAGCAGATGCATACGAATAACCGATTCTAACATAAAAATAAATTTTATTTTCTGTTCATTTGTTAGACTAAATGGTTTTTTTTATCTTTACTTTTAAATATAAGTATATCATTTTCATGTATTTTATGAAAATAAGCTAACATTTCAATACTAAGAATGATAAAATACGTCGTTGTTATTATGAAACATACAGTCAAAAAAATGTTTCAAGTTAGAATTAAGCCTTCGAGATACTCTATACACTCTGAAAAGTTTTTCCAATCTATTGTTAGACACTATAATCTGTTGTGTGTTTCCATATTTTTATTTTCAATAAATAACAAACCACATTCATTTAAGATGGTCGTAAATTGGTGACTGATAGAATACTTGTCTAAAACTCGTGCGCATCAAAGCAAACATTCTTATTCAACAAGTTTGATACCATTCTCATTAGAACATTTGGTGAATAAAAGAAAAAGTTTGTCATCTAGAGAAAAAAATTGATTTTACAAAATGGCATTTTATTTCGCGATTTATGTATCTTCAAAAATGATAAGTAGAAATTGAGGTGTATGATAGAAAGTTGTTTAATTGTTACAAAACAAGCCATAGTATTTTCATACATTTTCAATCAATTATTATAACGGTACTTTATTTTTTCATGACTGCATTATGTTTTCTTTTTATCAGTACCTATATCATCTAATGCTCCAGCTCAAATTCTGAACATAGTTAATACAAATAGGACGTATTTGTATCCGCTAAGACATCAGATCATTGTTACTTGCCTTGATTTCCTGACAGATAACTATGAAGTTAGTATAAAAAAATGTCGATAAAGTATGCTCTCGAAAAACTGTGACAATCTTTCTATGATAAAGACTGGCTTGTTGTTTATGTAAACTTTTAATTTATTGGTACAGATTAAGAAAAAAAAGCCCATATTAATGATGGCAACTCGCCATCGAGTGTTCGTAATGCCTTATTCAGCATATCATACATGAAGCACTGAGGTGTATGACACCAAATAGTTGATGATGAACGATAAATATGTTCGAATTCATCAATAATATTTATTTGACTCATATTGTCCAAGTACAATTGACGGAAAAACTTTACCAAACCTTGCATGGCATCTTGACTATGTTTCATTTCAAGGAGAACTTCTTTGAATATTTTGAGAATATATAAAAGAGGATTCCAGCTGATTCAGATTTTCACTAATAGCCCTTTCATTCAAACTGATAATGCTTACTGACATATCATCTTGGTTGCATTACTTGACAGCTATTTACAATGCTTCATAGATAGACTTGATTTCTGTATAGACACCTTTTATTTTCAACCGATTTTTCGTCCATATTTCATGTTGTGCTTTGATGTTAGAGAAGATCTAAATATCATCAATTTGAAAAACATCGTGGATGAGGGACACTATGCGTTCACCCATAGTATCCACTACAATCAGAAAAATCTTAACATCATGGATTTCAGTGAGGAAGTCAACACATTCATCCGATTGGGAGAAAATATTGATTTCGCTCACGACACTGTGCACTTGCACAAGTGTCTTTTAACAAACTTGATTTTCTTGATCAACCATATGAGAACAAAATTTTGAGTCCTACACTGTGGGGGTTGGATAATATGCAATGAAGCTGGTTCATTTTCAGCAACACTCTTTGTTGTTGTGGAAAC